TTTATCACCCTAAAATTCTGAAACTCTTTCACATAGCTTTTTTTTGGCACATCCCCACACTGCCCCATCCCAAACGATTTTTCACAAGTACAACACTCATCCATTGACAGTTACAATAACATTTGATACAGTGAACTGTAAGAAACTGAGGATAAAGGGCTTCGGTAAATGAGAGAAATAATTATTGTTACAACTCCACCACAGTGAAAGGAACCAGCAGAGACCACATGTACAAGAACAGGGGAGGTAATCTTTCAGCATCTCAGATCGGAGTCTCTTCAGTTAAAGACCGCTGTATCCAGTTCCTCTGTACAGGTACGGTATAATATGATGGATGTACAGTACATTGACCGTTTACAAACACAGAACCACTAAAGGAGAAACAGTAGATACCTGGCTTGGTGCAGCAGTTTGAAATTCAAAAACATAGATGTGCGTCTATTACAAACAACAGATATGCCACTAATAGCACAGATACTGCACATAAATATATAGACATGGGTATTTGATATAACTTTCATTTATTAAATAACGAATGTGACGTTCACAGCTCATGAAGATCACCTTTCACCTCCCTGTGAAAATAACAGTGGTATTTTCCAGTTCACTTATTGCTGTACAAATTTTCCAAACTATCCTGCAAAGCATTAGCAGTGAACAGGAAGTTGGGCTCAGCTCTGCGGTGTTTCCAAACAGGGTGTAAGAATCTAATACTGCACTGGGAGGCATTAAAACACAACAGATTTTGGTTATGTAACCAGACTAATATATTAACAACAAATGCTAATTAAAAATAATTTCTGATGAATTAATCTAATGTGAAAAATGCTGGTGTATCTATTAAGATGGCGTCAAAGGTAGAACAGATGTACAGCTACATGGACATGGTGATGTCCAGCTGTTACTGCACTTGCAAACATCGTGACAAAAAAACAGGGAAAACTTTTTCGGTGCTGTTTGTCTTTTTAAAAAAAAACAGTGCACAAATCCATGTTCAGAATCACTGCACTTTGTTATGTTGTGACTCACCATATCACGTCTGCAGGCGTGCTCAGAAGTGCTCAGACAGTAGGGCTCAACCATGTCCTGACAGCAGTCAAGTCACCCAAATGTATTTGTTAAATTTCTTTCTGATTTAAATCGTTGTAAAATAGCCTTTACCAATCATGACCTCCTAATAACCCCTATCTATGAATTGGCTTCATCACTCTGTTCTCCTCCCCACTGATACCTGCTGTGTGGTGAGCAGACTGGTGCACTCTGGCTGCTGTTGCATCATGAAGGTGGGTACTGCACATTGGTGGTGGTGGAGGGGAGTCCCCATTACATGCAATGTAATGTTTGAGTGGAGTTTTCCAGAAAAGCGCCACATAAGTGTAAGGAATTATTATTAATTATTTTGTTCACAAGTGATACTTGAAAGTTCAATGTGAAATGTATGCAGGGAACATCGAGGAGGTAAAAGGTTAATCCATTCAGAAAGAACAAGGAAAAATACAGAGATCTACCCAGACAAACTGATGCTTGTTTCAAGTGGTGAGACACTGAGTATATCAAACAACAGACCTCTTCCTTCAAATGCAAAATAGTTTTCCTTGGTTTTCAATCCTGAAGAATAGCAACACAATAACACAACACTGCTCAGCACAGTATTTTTTTGTTTTTGCATCAGCATGAGTAGTTTTACAAAAAACTCACTATCCAAAAGAATAATGATTTTTTTTACTTATGATGAGCAAGCGACATTGTTGCACTCTAAATTACAGAAACTGTGAAACCTAAGTTTACATGATTACAATTACTGAACTCATCATGTAGAAAACTGGAATGGTCCTTTTTCCAGTGATGTTACTTAGTAATTAACATATGATAACAAAAAACACTGAGACACACACACAGTCACTAATATCAGTCACTCATTATCAACTTATTAAATATTTTTGCATCTGAAGTTAAAGTTCTCACAGTGCCAAACTTTGGTCTTTCTAAATATCTTGCTTTTATTTAAAATACTCTCTCAAAATTTAAAAATTAAAATTGTTGGTTAAAGTGCTGACATGATGTATTTTCCAAAATATAGAAGACATAGAAAATGAAAATAAAATATTTATACTAAATGACAAATAATAATTAAAAATAATTATTAGTTCTCTTTTGTATACAAATTGCACATCTACCCTAGTGGTGATCTTTATCACAGAGCCCGAGACTCACAGGGGTGTGCAAAGGGGTGTTAATTGTATATCCTTCAGATTTTAATTGAAAAGAAAACCCAGATAGGGGGCAACAGCAAAAATCTGCACATTATTTTGTAAATCAGGCAACTCTCTGTGACAGGTCTCCTTTTTTTAACTGTATTCTTGGGTTATGAAGACACCTGTTTTCCAAATAGGTTGTAATATGTTATTTTAATTTCTGAGCTTTTACACTAGGGTATCTTATGTTAAAACGGAGATTTTGCATACCATGTCACGGGGGAACAGGAATAGAGCAGAGGCACAACCTATCTGGAGACAAAACTGATTTACAGAAACTGGTGTATATGCTGAACATCTTTACATGAAAAAGAAGCAAAAAATATTCTGGACACTGCTGTACAGTATATGGGGTTCATCTAGTGCTGTTATACTCAATTGCAAGGTTAAATTATATGTATCTGTGAATTGTGAAATAAAACTGCCTGAATAAAAAGCCTGAACAACACTGGACAACAGCAGAGCTAGTCTCATGCTAACTGGAAACAGTACTCATAGATTAAAAAAGAGACCAAAAAATTACAATGCGACAATCAAACTAACAGCAGGTGAATCTGAATTTTTTCTTTGTTCTGAGCCATTTATAGAAATTCATTGCAAATAAATGGTTTTACAAATGCATGGGATTTTACAGCCTGCCTGTTTTTGAGTAATGCAAAACTGGGTGGCTTTTGCAATTTTTTTTAAATGAGGAATTAGAATGTGATTATTATGCCACGCTTTGCACATCTAATAGTGCACTCGAAATAGCAATTTTTGGAATATAAATTATGCATGAACACAAATGATACTGCTGTGTGTATGAAACCATGTCTCTAAAGGCATCAGGAGTTCAACAAAGTCTAGCCCACCACATCTAGACTCCTTAGGTCTGGCTGTGATCTTGCATAACCACTTAAGGTAAGCTCTCCTAGGCTTGTACCCTTATTCAGATCAGTAAACTTTTTCGTTAGATTAACAACTGGAGTATAGCCACCCCTGGCAAGAAAAGTCTGATGGCTAATGTCCTTTCTCATTATGTTATGCAGCCATCATAACCTGGACAATGTGTACAGTGCCATGACACAAAGACCCCTTGAGTTATCAAAACATACTTCAAAATGACAAAATAAGAAAACCTATTTGTTTGAACTCATGATGGAGGAGAAGAACACTTCATGCAAAATTCAGCATTTAGGCCCTCAGGCAAAATGTTTTCCCAAGTGCTTTACTGTAAGGTTCTGATGTCAGCCTGACTGGTAGTTACCAGGGTACTCAAATCTGATTTTTTTACAGAAGCAATGGTATCCCAATAACCTGCACCAACATTTCTCCTTATTGAGGCTAAGCATGTGTATACTGTACTGTACAGTATCTATACATGCTACAGTACATGAGCATGTCTATATAGATATCCAAACAACTTATGAAAGAGGACTATACAGTAGTTACGGGCCACATTCATTGCCACCTCGTGACTACAGTCTCAGGTTTTTAAACATTTGTTTCTAGCTAAAATGCAAATAAACCCACACTCTCAGATACACAGTAAATTTAGGTTTTTAAAAGATAATGCACAGCCTTACATGGTTTGAGATGGAGACAACTAAACTGTAATTGCTGGCACAATCTCTTACTGATAATGAGACACCAACAAAAGCAAAATCAGCATTTTGATGTTGTTACAATAACACGGGGGCTTTTAACTAGCAAGAAATAAGAAGTTTATACTGTAGCTAGATCGCACCAACACTTAGTTGTTGGTGGTGTAGTGAAATTAAATCTGTTATATGATACAGATTTACTAGATGCGATGCAACAGTTATAGTCAGTGTTACTCCGTTATGCTGGTTAAAATCAATGTTATTCATGTCACCAATCTTGATATTACTCATTGACTGACATTCCAGACACCCACGGTTAATTGGAATGTATACCCCAAAAATCAGGATTTTAAAACCACTGTCAATAACCAGTGTCCAGGCTGAAGGCAATTCAAAGCTTGTTGGTATTCTGAAAAAAAGACTTAAGTAGTGCTAAATCTTTTTTGAGAACAATCAATCTAAAACCAGCATTATTTAACCTGTGACAGTAAAAAAATGAACTGGCTATTGCAAGGAGCTTGCCTGCTCAATTCAACTACACAAGCACGGAATTTCAATTATGAAGCCGTTCCCTGTGGCATATCCAGGCGCAACAGTTTCTCCTGCTGTATGATGGGGAAACTCAGAAGTATCACTCCTGGAATACTAATACAGCTGCTCTATCAAATTCACAGTGAAGGAGCTGTCATGTCTCTGGGCTCAGCAACAGAGCACACCCCATGCCACCCTCACCCACAATGGTCAGGAAATCATACTGTATTTGTCATTTGCATGCACTGACAACAGACAATATAGATGTATGCATTCTATGAGTGAAATGCTTAAAAATATTTTTAAAATATTATCATACAGAAGAAGCTGCGACTGCTATGAACATAACTTTACAAATGAATCTTGAGTAAAAAAACAATGGTTGGCCTATTCCTTGTGGGTAATTCCAATTCTTTGTGAACTGAAGACAAGGTTCACTCCAGTTAAGAGTTCTGAACTAAAACATTGAAATAATTAGAGTAATGAATGTATTTGATAAAGTTTCTCACACATTCTTTTATACAATTTTACTTCTTGTTTTGAAGACAAAAAGTTGAATTAATCAGGGAACATGCTATGATCTCTTACTGGTTGTGATACTAAAAGTATCATTTTGTGCTTTTAGAAATAATGTTTTACTCATTTCATTTATTTTTGTAATGCTGCAATTAGTTTCTTTCAAGGCCAATTAAGACTATGAATAGAAATCCATATAGTATGCCAGTCTAACAACAGAATTCCTTTAAACAAAGTAAGTTGCAAACAGTTCATAAAATAAGAAAATATCTGAATAAGTGTGACGCAAATTACAGTATGCTATTTTTATCATATTAACATACCTTTGAGTGGTTTTAATTTTATACATCCATTAAGATTTTTTACTTTAAAAAGAAGGTTGAGCGGATGTTACCAGCCACACACAAGCATTATTCCATAAAAAGGATTACTTGCAAAAGTCAGATATCACAGTGATCATCATAATATTGAAATACAATGTGACTTTAGTTTATAGCATGTAAGTTGCTGTGAACATTAGCTGTATTCGGAGTATTTGGAGTATTACAATAGAATATGTGTATTCTTTTCATAAGAGATAAACATCGTTTGTTGAAGATATTTGAACAGATTAATCTGATCACTTATCAAGTACTAAGATTCATTTAACAGCAACTATGATAGCACAGGCCATGAGTTTACTGGCGCAACACTGAAATTTCTCAAGTTGATAAGCCATCGGAAATAGCTGAGAAACTAGATCATTGCTGAAAACATTCAGTCATTTGGAAAATAATTAGATGAAAGGAAAAATTTAACAGTATCGTTGTATGTAAAGTGAATATAAGGCATGTATCCGTTCTTTATGACAAACATACTTGCACTTTCACCATGGATATGAAATGTGTATAGATTATGTCACTTACACATGCCTAGAAAGGAAAAAGCACCTTTCTCAAGGGCAGAAGCACTGTCCCCACCTGACCAAGAACTAGTACTCCATGACAAAACAATTTCCCAGTTTTTATCAGCAGATTTCAGATATGATGTGCTTCTTTTAAATGACATTACATTTACCAGTTACATGTTTTGCTATGGAGCATACTGGTTAATCATTTAATTAATGTTTCAGAATAACTTTGAAAAATGAAATACAATGAAACATATCAAGTGTGAGTAGTGATACACCCCCTGTTATTTACTTTGGTGTTAAAGATGGAAGCTTAAATATTTAGTTTAATGTGGCTTATGACATTTTTCTTTTATTTAGATTTAGAAGAACACTAGATAGACTCTCTGCATGATGTCCTTTCATAATTTTATAATAAGCTACATCATCATTAAGAAGCTCAAGGTCAATATGTCAGCCACAAGCAACCTCTACTCTTTCTTGCTTGAAAACTATCACTGCAACCTGGAAACATTCAATTTCATTTCATTCTGTAACTTAGTATTCAGGGATCGATTTTATAATTCATAATGAAAGCACTGTATTTACATACAAATTTATTCAATTTCACAGTAGCTAGGGTATTGACAACACACACAGTTTTTGTTTTGATGCCAATTTTTGTTTATTCTTAATTAAATGTTTATTTAGATAATCCTGCCACCTTGTGTTGGTGTTAGCATTTTCATTGGACTTGATTTCAAAGTTGAAATCTTCCCAAGTATTTGCTTTAATTTCATTCTCGGTAAAATATTGATCAGCCAAATTCTGGGAAGGGTCCTGAATCAAAGAAAGTTGCTGCTGACATATTGTGAGATTTTATTTTACTCAAAACACAAGTTCCTGAAATTTATGTTATAGAAAAGCCCATGTAATACAATGAGTCTCATTTATTCCAAACTAAAAGCAGGAGAGTAATAACATTGTAGTCCATTCATTTATTCTTCCAAAAGCACAATATGAAATCATTCTAAAATAAAATACTGAAAAGTGAAGACATCATTTTCAGTTTCTTTTGCATTGTTTAGGCACAGAGCATGATGTTGAATCAAAGCTCGCATTACTGGTGTTTGGTTGTTTGAGTGTAGTATTTTAGTATTGCTGAAAGAGCTTAAATGTCAAATGCAATTTCTACCTAAACTGTCGTATGCAGGAGATGAAGGAGCACTTTCTCACTATAAATGAAACACCTGGTTCAAGGACATAAACAAGCAGGTGGCAATGCTATTAAACTTATGTTTGTTTTGTACAGCATGTTTTATATGACTCTTTGATAGAAAATGATACTCTTAACATGTAATGGAATATAATTTAAATTGAGTTTCCTATTTAAGTTCAAATCAGAACATTTGTTATATACTCAGCATCAAAAGAAACGTATCACTTATAACTGTAATTAATTCATAAAGAGAGCTTTTTTATAGCAGTTTCACAGGCAGTTTATTTGAACATGCATGGTGTAGGAAATGTATTACGCTGATTATCATTAGACAACAACAGTGATGATCAAGAGGCTTATTGTGGAATTCACAGACTAATAGAGTGTATGGCCACTGACAGAAGCATATCAAGCTGTCCATCTGTGATGCATAATATGCACCATGTTCCAGATGCTATCTTGTGGGTTTCGGTCCAATTCCTCTCATAGAGTTTGGACAAGCAAGTACCTGTTCACTGGTGTCTGAGCCCTTGCTGCCACAAACTCATCTCACTGGTGCTTAATGGTGGTTCAACCCAACATCCACATTCACTCCATTTAGTTACAGGAGCAGCATGAGGATGTGGTGTTGTGCCAGGATGAGTCAACAGGAAGGGTGGAAAGTGAGATACCAGGACTCAATCAGCACAGTGCTACTGAATGTGGTCAGGTCACCCTTAATCACTACAGGTGGTGTTCTTTAGCAGCTAGGCCTTCCTGTCCAGGACATCATACTGATCCCCATTGATTGCTCTGTGTATTCAACCTATGGTTCTGCTTGTCTGCATCAAAATCAGGGCAGTCAACATTAAACCTTAGATCGTTGTTACACAGCGCTTGATTGAAAATATGGAAAATACAAATGTTCTCTTCATAAGCACGGCATATACGATGCTTTCTGTAGGGTTCTTTCTTGATTTTCGCCAAACTTGGCATCCAATGGGTTAAATCACCCCCTTAACTGATTAATTGCTTATAGAAAAGCTGACTTCATTCAACTGCAACATGAGACAGTCATGGATGATAAATTAATCAAAATTACAGCAAAAAAACAACAATGAAAAACAATTGTATACTATTTTCAAAAACGTGTAAAAATGTGTGGCAAGTTGGCCCCTGAAATGTCTGTAGTGACCATAGGTGTGACACTAGAGGTCACCAAAACAACCTCAAAAGATGGCTTTGTACACAGTTCACCTCAGCGTAATGAGGTTAATCTGTTTTGCAAGACTGTTTCGATAATTATTTTGGAATATGGATATTCTCACACGGGTTTGATTTTGTATATAAGGGTGTAGTACTGTATCTCACAGGAAACAGACAAGTGTTTTCCCAAGCTCAGCTGAAGTGTGTAGATGTAATAGTAAGAGTTAAGCTGATACAAAAGTACTGTGTTTTTGTTAAATCCTTATATAGTATGTGGAAGACTTTTGCTTTGTGTTTTAGATTTTGCCATGTCTTTATAAGAAAACCTGGGAACACCTGGGCCTTTAATTTTCCTCAGGGACTGGAGCAGAGTTAGGGATGTTCCACAAGTGATACGTTCTTTTTGATGCTCAGTGTATAAATATTTTTAATAAGTGATCCATGCAGCATTTCTGAGTTACAATTATTATTATTATACACTCAGGCTTTGTAGGTGTAAATGTAAAGCATGACAGCATCTTAATGAGACAGCAGTAAAAAATGTGCTAGTAACTTAACACACAGGTTAACCACATAGTTTCTTAAATTCCTGAAGCAATTTTAAAAACTGACTGACGTAACAAGATGCCGGGATCCTATGAAGGAGCAGACAAGATTTTACAAACACATTAATAATGGATTAACAAATATCAGTAATAACTGTAATCTCACATGGTACTAATGAAATCTCGTATATCACAGGATTTGCAGAAGAGTCGACAAGACACCTAGGGGCTTCCCAGGAGCTCACTGCGAGGAAGATCATATCTACGTACTGCATGGTCACAGTGTTACAAGGAAAAGAATCACGTTTTAAGAAGCATGACAGTCCTTTCTTGCTTTTCTGCTTTTAACTGTAGAGAGCTAAACTGTTGTTTTTCATTGCATGGTCTCTCATAGCTTAAGGGTAACAGAAATCTAGTTCTGTAACTTAGTTTAGAACAAAGGAAAAGTCAAAAGGCAAGAGCCTAACAGTGAAGGGAAAATCATTACTCTTTAAGCCTCTACCCAAATACTGCAAACACACTACCATGAAATCCTACATACTGTATGACCACCCAGCTGTTCCTGGTGGGCTCTTTGATGTGTGTCAGTGCAATGTTACGGCAGAGTCAGCAAAATTCATTATTCAATATTTAGAAGACTCTAGATCGCAGCAGCTTAAGAAATGACGCTGAACGTGTTTATTTACAGTACGTTACCTCCAACTCACAAAGGTTGATATGTTGCGTGCCTTTTTGAATGTAGTTATTACGCATTTCACTGCCTGCTCCTGTTTATTGGGCTACTGATGGTGGTAAATGAGTGCGTTTCTTCTGCGGAGGAAGGCAGACATCTCGGTGCTGTGCACCGACACCAGGAGGAAGGCCAGCCTAAAGCACTTGTGACGTCAGCTGCCGGCTCGACAGGCTGCACTGGCCCTCCTCCTGAATCCCCACATAGCTGCAGCTCAGCCTCCACAGCCGTCTCTGGAGCTCCTCGTCGTAGGAGGCGTCTGCCGATTTCGTCCTTTGCCCGTTGTACAGGTAACAGCCCCCCACCCCCTCCAGCTCTGGAGAGGCGGCCGCATAGACGGATGTAGATGCTCCCTGCTCCGGGCTCTGTCAGGGCACACAAGAAACAGACCAGCAAAATGAAAAACAGATTTCTTTCAGGATCTGTTTCACCATTCTAATCAGGGATATTGATCAGGGTTTGTTTCGCACTGAAGCACCGAGTTGGTTAAATCAGATAACAGAGTTGCTGTCTTCAGAACTGTCATTTGACAGATAATACTAGAATATTATAAAGCTTAGGTTCATTTAGCCTGAATTCATATGGCAAAATCCGGAATATGCAGCATACAGTATGTTCCCATTCATTCAATTTCTGACCTCTTCATCCAATTTAGGGTCACATAGTAGCTGAACCTGTCCTTGCAAGCAACAGGCAGTAAATCTATCTGTAAATTGATGATTTAATAATTAATAATAATTATTAATAATTGCTTACACTTATATAGCGCTGTTCTGGACACTCCACTCAAAGCGCTTTACAGGTAATGGGGATCCCCTCCACCACCACCAATGTGCAGCCCCACCTGGATGATGTGACAGTAGCCATAGTGCGCCAGAACGTTCACCACACATCAGCTATCAGTGGGGAGGAGAGCAGAGTAATGAAACCAATTATAGATGGGGATTATTAGGAGGCCATGATTGGTAAGGGCCAATGGGAAATTTGGCCAGGACGCCAGGGTTACACCCCTACTCTTTTCGAGAAACGCCCTGGGATTTTTAATGACCACAGATAGTCAGGACCTCGGTTTTACGTCTCATCCGAGGGACGGCGCCTGTTCACAGTATAGTGTCCCCATCACTATACTGGGGCATTAGGACCCACATGGACCACAGGGTGAGCGCCCCCTGTTGGCCCCACTAACACCTCTTCCAGCAGCAACCTTAGTTTTTCCCAGGAGGTCTCCCATCCAGGTACTGACCAGGCTCACACCTGCTTAGCTTCAGTGGGCTGCCAGATGTGAGTTGCAGGGTGATATGGCTACTTATTGATTTGCCAATACGGAAGTAATGTTGATTTTTGAGGCTCAAGTGGTGAAGAACAGGATGGAAATCAGGGATTAAAGGGAAATTCCCTGCTCCATTCAGGTCTTTTGACACTTCATTTCTCTTTCATTTTAGGTAGATTCTTGCTTCCTTCTGAGTGCTGGCTGCTGTTTGCTTTTCTGTTATTTTTTAGCACAACTGGGTGACCCAGCAAATCCCAGTCATGTACATATAAAAAGCTAACCAAAACTGAGTTTGTTTTCATTTGTATCAAACTTAAATCAGAAAAGAAATATCCTACACTTTAGTAACAACTGTTAAACATTTAAATTATATTACTCTTCAAGACTGGACTCCAACTTAACCCAAGGCTGCTGCAAATTGCTGTAAAGTCAAGTCTTAAACAACTGGCAATTCCAAATTGACTGGGTATGAAACAAAAATATGGATATGAAAGAAAAATATATTGCTTATTACATGTTTTAAAGAAAAGACTACCCCCTTAAGATAAAGTAAAAGGTATGTTTTTAGCTGTGTTTGAATTCAGGACAAAATTGCTTAGCCTTGAAGCAGTTTCTCTACTTTCCTGCATGTTTGTATCATGAAATAAAAATTACAACTGCTTCAGCTGCCTCTGGAGGAGTCATTCAGACAACCTCTCTTCCATCATTCTTGATCAATGAAGGAACTGGCTCCAATCTTAAAGCCTCGAGCAGCTCACATTATGTACATCTTTTTGTTAAAACAAAGCTAAACTTCACACAAAATTTACTTATTCATTATTCATCTGCATCACATGTCTTTTGTATTTGCTTTATACTAAAATAAGATGTCCAGTCTGTATTTGTAATATGGTAAGCAGTACATTTTGTTTAACCTAGAATTACAATGTGTGTCTTCAAAGTCTGATAATTTTTATAAATATTATAATTTTATTTTTAAGCTTTGTTTTTAAAGGAATCACAAATTAAAATTACTAATAAAACTACTATTAAGGATACTAGAATAAAAGTGCCTTCGGTCATGTTTCTCAGTGATTTCATTTGAATAAGGCAAATACAATTGATAAACTCACATCAAAAGGGCTATTTGTAGGATCATTAACAGTAACAAATCTCATTACCGAACCCAATGACCTGATCAGTCACTGGAAAGTTTTAAGAGACATTGTATGCTCTTATTTATTGTATTCTCAAATATTTTAAGTCAAGTGATAGAATAAGCAGCCCCTAGGCATCTATCAATATTCAGAACCCATGATGTGCTTCTAACGAGATATGTCAACTTTAGGCTTCTACCATGTTTTGGAATCCAGAAGTATTTTTTAGTCATTAAGAATGAAGAAGGCAGGCCAAGATGAAATTCAAAGGTGCTGGGTATATGTATTTAGGATAAGGAAGCACATTAAATTAGTAGAAGACTAAGAGTCTAAGGCACTACCAGTCCTATAGTAATAAATACATATTGCTGAGTTCAGCCTGTCAGATTCATGATACTTATGGAAAAAATCATTAAATATACCCCCAGGAGTAAGAAAATGAAAATATGAAAATATACATTCTATCACAACAGCAAGCCAGCATTTAACGACCTTGGGAATATGAATCATAAAAATAATCGAAGACTCCACAAAAAATACAGACATTAAATTAGGCACCTGAATCATACACAAGAAGAGTAGCAATGTCCCCAAACACACGCAGCCGTAATGGGAACAACTGCTGTTATAGAGCTAATTAAACTTTCTCGTCTCCACAGTGAAGATGAAGACACAAATTGAGCATGAAAGGACATTCAGTGTGGGGGCTCTTAGATGAAGCCCTCTAAATATCACTGGAAAGGTTTTATGGATTTAAAAAAAAATCTAAACTAAACATTCGAGTTTATAGCTCAGTCACCACTACATAGGAACAGTGCAAATGCCTGACACTGGAAAAGCATTTTATGACATGTTTTATGTCTTTCAGTATTTTATTGACAAACAGATGTCAAAGGATTATTTAAATCAGCAAAACGATTTGGTCTGTGATGCATATAATTTTATAAGGAACTAGCAAAACTTGAAACTAGTAAATTTACGCAATAGATTATTCATATATTCTAGAATACACACACGCTTTTCCAAGTGTGTCCTTCACATTTAGTAAATGGAACATGTCTCTTGAATATTTGGGGAAAGAAAACTTAACCAGAATTTTAAAAATCCTTGGAGAGCTACTAAATGCACAGTGACAGATGTTTGCCCAATGACACTGGGTCCTACAGAATATAGTGGAAATACATTAAGCCATATTGCCTTACACTCAGACCCCTAATTCAAACTAATATAGCTTATACAACCAGTTGGAAAGTCAGCTTGGAATACTAACTTGTTTTCTGTGTTTATATACAGTATATTTTTCCTTAAGTACTGTATGTGGTCAGAAACAGGAATGCAAGAAACAAATGGTTCCTTTTGTAATATGACTACAAAGAGAAAAGTATTCATCTTCTTACATAGCTATTTACAATAACATAATAGCGTTCAATTTAGGGGAATCAAAATCGAATTCTTATGTTAGATTTCTTCAAAAACAAGTGTAGTGTGATCATAAAAACAAACCCCAAGGTAAATACAGTATAACTTTTAAATTATATTACACAGAACACAAAATTACGTTGCTCCTGGACAAGTTTTCACACAACCATGTGGTCCTCCACAACAAGGAATGTTAAATTAGCACACAAGCAACACAAACCAGTCATTAATATTTGTTTTTAAATTATGACAATCAATATTACTATAATGATCAATATTCGCTCCTGCAAATGTTTGTGCACAAAAAGCTTTTCACTTTAACGATGGACAAGACTGCAGATGAGATTAAAAGTCTCATATCAAACGTTCGTGGTAGGTTTCCATTGTTTAAAATGAAGAATCACCTCATAAATGTACAAGACTTGCAATTTATGATTGGTGGATGTCCAAGTTTTCAATTTTTTTAGGGGCAATGATGACTTTACCAGAGGGTTAGAAGTTCAGACAAGTGGGCAGTGCTGGGGAGAATCTATGGGGAAAGCTGAGGGATTGACCTCTGTGACCTGACAATTTGAAAACCAGAAAGCACAGACTTCCAGCGCTGGTCACCCTCTGCTGTGTGAGAAGAGAGCAGAGCCTCTGTTATACACCTGTCGGAGAGAGAGGGGGAAAGGGAACGGCGCGTCCATCTGGGACTGAAGAACATGTGGGAAGAGCCAGAGGTTTTCAAAAGTGATTTCTGGAAAGGTGTTTTTATATTTTGAAGCTTAGCTGATGAGTTCTTATTAGAAGCTCAAAGTTGAGCGGCGGCTTTCGAATCGTTTTCACCGTGTAAATAAAGGAGTACTACTTTTAAGTTTTTAAACCTTTTTTACCTTTTCTTTTTTACCTCATTTGTCTAAATGAGGTGCACAACATTACGGTATAATGGTATTATGTAATTATGGTAAAAAAGAATGTCAGAACACATTTAGGTTGTGTACATTGTTCCCATAGCACTAAGCCTTCTAAAATGTGTTCTGAAATTGGACATTTCTTGGTGAGTAGTAACACTCCTGGGGTTCTGTATGTACCATGATTTTTTTATCTTTTCTTATTACACAAATGCCAAACAAAAGAATACTGCTTCTGTTTTCATTCTGCCTCTTTCAGAAATCCATGTCTTCCAACAGAAACCTCAATAACAGCACATAACATCAGCAACAGCAACAATAATCATCAGCATCATCATCTTTGTTTTACAGTAAATAGCACCAAGTTCTATACAGTAAGAAGAAAAATGCTAACAAGACAAGGAGAAAATGGGTTTAGAATGCAGTAGAGGATGCAAGGGGCAGACACAAACACTCATTAAATAAAGGAGAAGAAGGATTTGAGTCTGCATTTGAAAGGGGTCAGGAAAGGTGACTCTCTGATATCCTTGAGGATAAAATTCCCCCCAAACTTGTTACAAGAGTTGGGGGACAAACAGGCTCAAATGATGCAAAGGTAGGACATAGTAAAATAGAAAGTCAGATAGGTTATTCCCCTTCTCTCGCCT